TCATTCCGAATTTTAAATTTTAAACTTGAATTAATATATTAAAAGATAAAAACTATGAAATAGTATAAGAAATATTTTAAAATTATATCAAAGTAAATATTTTTATGTATAAAATAAAATTTTTAAAATTACATATATAATGTCGGGTTGGTTTGGTCTCGGGTTAGTTTTTTTTAGTTAAAACCAAACCAAAACAAATATAGTCGGGTTTTTTTTCGATTTGACTCAATTTGCAATTTGATTCGATTTTCGGTTCGATTTTGTACACCCCTAGTGCTAAGTATTCAAGATGAAACTTTGGGCCCTAAAACTGACGTTTCACTTTCCAATATCAGCCCACAAACAAAGGTGGTTGTTGCTTTAGCATCAAATTCATTTGAACTTAATATTTTTTGTGTGGAGTATAAATTAATATAGAAAAATTATTAATTGTGATAAATAGTAGACTTTGAATTCATAAGTTTAAAAATATATTCTTGTTATAAATAACAATCTTATGCTAATTATGACTTATAAAAGAACGATCTTATATATCATCATCGTAGGGACTCTTCTTCTATAAATAATAATCTTATATTAAATACGACGTAGAATTATCGATATAGGACGCTTACATCTTTCCCGCTTACCTTCGGTCTACTTTCTTGTCTGTTGTTGCGTTTGAGATTGATGTGACTGCTTTAGACAGCTGCAGCCTTGTGTGCTTAGATACAAATACATGAGTTTTATGTGCTCAAATATAGATACAGATACAAGAGTCTTATCTACTTAAATATAAATACAAATACATGAATCTTGTATACTTAGATACATATACAGAAGCTTTATGTGCTCAGATAGTACATATACACAAATTTTGTGTGCTTAGATATAAATATAAGAGTCTTGTGTGCTCAAATACAAATACTAATGGTATTCCCACGTGGAATACGACCATGGACATAGTACTTTTAAGGCTTGAATGAAGGTTTTCTAATTAGGATGTATTACCTTTATACCTATAAATAGTAATTCCAACACAATTATAAGGGATTGAATTCTGAACAATATTAAAGCAATAAATTGATCTGAACTTCTTATTTACCAAGTCTTAGCTCTCAAATATTAATATATACAAACGTCCCCGACTATGATATCAAGAACGCTTAAACGTTAAGGAGTTCAGTTCAAACACACATCATCAGAGCATTGCCACTTCATACAACTTTATTTACTTACTTTATTGTTTTCATTTATTTCTTTAACAAATACCTTTAACTGCTAATAATCAAATCTAATGAGTTAAATTAAGACGTGTGTTCTTAATCTCATATATATTTAATTATACCATTTTTTCCGATAAACATATATTTTAAGTGATTAGTTTATTCATCTAATGGACGTTTGAGAACATACGTAATTTTTTAAAATAAATTGAGTTGATATATGTTCAAGTGTTTAATTGGAACAAATTATATTACGTAGTACTTTAATATGTGTTCACCTATTCAATTGAAATAAATATAGTTTAATCATTTAAATAAAATAGGAATGATATATAAGTACCCCATAAACTATGATTGAAATCTCAGCAACACACTTAAACTTAAGTAGGGTCTTATTACCCCCAAAACTATTTTAAAATGAAAATAAACGCACCCCAAAAACTAAATAGCGGAGAGTGTGCAGTGTCACTTGAAGGCAAATGAAGACCTTAACAATTGGACACATGTTTTTTTTTAATTAGTCTATTTATAATTAGTTGGTACACATAATTATTTACATTAAAACTTTGTAAAATATTTATTTTAATTTCTTCCTCACTTTAAACTTTTTTATTTTTTTTCTCTTTCACTAATTTCTTTTCTTTTCTTTTCTTTTCACTTTTAATTATTTTTTAAAAATTATGTATACTTTTTTAAAATAATAAACTAAAAAGTGTCCTCTAATTTTTAATGTTTTTAATTTTTAATTTTTAATTTTATTTCTTCACTTATTTTGATATCTCTTTAAAATTAGATTATTTTAAATATAGATTTTTTGAATTAAATATAAATTTAAATCAAAGGAAGGACAAAAAGGAAATTAAAAAAAAAATAAAAATCAATAGAATAATAAAGAGGAAAAATAATGAATGAAGGTCAAATAAAATGATTTTTTTTAAAAAAAATATAAGACAAAAAAAATTAATATTTTTTTACGTGTATTGGCTTAATTTAAAAACAAGATAAAGATAATAAGAAGATTTTAAATAATTTAAAATCTTTTTAAAAAAATTTAAAAAAAAATTACACTCGTAGCAGGCGCGTGTTGTACAATCGCAATCAACTTACCTGGTTGAAGATGCACAAATACAAAAAAAAAGAAAAGTATAGGGAATAATAAAATCCTAGTTAAATTAAATGTATCACTGTAATTTCAATTATCATCTAGGAGTACTTTTACATTATTCCAATAAAATATATGAATAAATTTAGTGAAATATTAATATACTCTTCCTTACAAAAATATTATATCATATAAATTGTAATGGAAAGTAATAAAATTAGTTCTATGTGTGACCTTATTCTGGTACTCATATGACATAGACAAATCTTAACGTGTACAATCTGTTCTTCTCTGGGGTCCTATCACACTCAATTCCAATTGCTTCTCCTTTTTGTGTTGGGACCCTCTAATATATATATATATATATCATAATCACTTTTTTTTTCTTTTGTCATTTGCTTCCTAACCTTTTCCCCAACGGCATCACCTGATAATTAGGAACGGAGTTAGTGTGTTGATTATGAATTTAATTATAGTTAATAATTTTGATTAAAACTTTGAATTTGTAATAATAATATACGATATCTCTTTTTGTTTTGGGACCCTCTTAATATAACATAATATCTTTTTTTTTCTTTTGTTGGTTACCTCCGAACCTTTTTCCCAATAGCATCATTCTGATAATTGGAGATAGAGCTAGTGTGTTGGTTATGAATTTAATTGGATTCAATAATTTTAATTAAAACTCTGAATTTGTAATAAGATTATTCAATTTTTTTTTTGTGTGTTGGGATCCTTTTAATATATCAGAATATCTTCTTTTTCTCTTTGTTGGTTGCTTCCTAACCTTTTTTCAATAGTATCACCCTGATAATCACAAATGAGGTCAGTGTGTTGATTACAAATTCAACGGAAATCAATAATTTTGATTTAAACTCTGAATTTATAATAAGAATATTCAATATTTATTTGTGTTGGGACCCTCTTAATATATCATAATCTCTTCTTTTTCTCTTTTGTTGGTTTCTTCCTAACCTTTATTCAATAGCATCACCCTGATAATTAGAGACGAAGTCGGTATGTTGATTACTAATTCAATTGGACTCAATAACTTTGATTAAAATTTTGAATTTGTAATAAGAATATTCAATATCTTTTTTTTGTGGAAACCCTCTTAATATGTCATAATCTCTTCTTTCTCTTATGTTGGTTGCTTCTTAACCTTTTCCCCAACACTATCACCCTGACAATTAGGGGCGGAGCTAGTGTGTTGATTATGAATTTAGTTGGACTCGATAATTTTAATTAAAATTCTGAATTTGTAATAAGAATATGCAATATCTCTTTTTTGTGTTGGGACCCTCTTAATATATCACAATCTCTTCTTTTTTCTTTTGTTGGTTGCTTCCTAACCTTTTTCTCAACATCACACTGACAATCAGGGATCGAGCCAGTGTGTTAATTATGAATTTAGTCAGACTCAATAACTTTGATTAAAACTTTGAATTTGTAGTAAGAATATTTTTTCTTAGTTCCATTGCATATTTTTTATGTTTTTGATTTTTCTTAATAAACTTTTTTGACTCTACCACTAATAAAATGTATAGGTCTTAAAAGTCAAATACCATCTTATTCCTTGAGATAACTTACTCTATTAATATTCTACTGTGTATAAATATTATTACTCTTAATGGAATATTGTTGTACCAAAAAATAATAATAGAATATTGTCAAGTTTAGTTCAATTATTATATAACATATATTATTGTAGAAATGTACAAGTGTTTAAGAAAGGATTAAACATGATTAATGAATAAACTATGTACATTGACCTAGTGCATAATTAGCCCCACAAAGACAGCTCCAGCCATACCTACCACAAAACTTGTCACTCTCTAAAAAGAATAACTCCACTAATTAAGCTAATTATTAAGACTTAGGTTAAGGTTTATTTCGGTATAGTGTATAAGAATAATATTTTGTCACTCTGTAAAAAGAATAACTCCACTAATTAAGCTAATTATTAAGACTTAGGTTAAGGTTCATTTCGGTATAGTGTATAAAAATAATATTTAATATGTTAATATCGTGTATAAGTAATATGTGTATTGGATTCTCTAATACATTCTACCAAATGACATATAGATTGAGATTAATCAAATCAGTATAAATCTAATCTTAAACTATTTTTTTTTGGTTTCCTAGCCTGTGTCTGGTATCCAAATTGGAGTTCGACTAAATTCAGATTCACGATTTTAAATTTAATCTTTTTTTTTGGTTTTCCACTCGGTGTTCGGTATCCACATTGGAGTCAGACTAAATCTGATTCACGCCGGAAAGTCCCACATTGGGCGTAAAGTGCTCCCTAACAAAAGGGACTCTGTAGTCTGTACCCAAGGGGACTCAAATCCGAGACTTCTTGATTAAGGATGAATGAGTACTTACCGCTCTACCATAACTTTTATTAGTTATCTTATACTTAAGCTTGAAACATTTTATTTCATTCAATCCATAATTATAATTATGAGCAATTTAGTCCGCGAACCATAACCGAATTTTATAATTATTGGTTGTAACAACCCACCTAAATAAATTTATCCTTTCCAAAAAATTCTCTTATTTTCTCCACTTTTTTTAGTACCTTTGTCAGTGTTTAAAGGGTTTATAGTATTTATGCTGACCAAGGTTTCAGTGTTCATAACTTTCCCTATAAGATTCAATCCAAACTCATTACAATTTTTGATATAATTAACAATTCCTATCTAGAATCTTGAACAATTCCTTAAAAAATCTTTCTTTTTGGTATTTCTTGAATAAAAATCCAATCTTTTTGTGTATCACTTTCATGGTGTCTTTAGTATCTTCAACTTAGATTCTAATCTTTCTTGAATCTCCATCTGGGGTTGTTGTTTTCTTGATTCTTGATTTCTGGATCTGTTGAGATAAATGGGTGTTTGTTTGAGCAAAAGTAAACCAGCAGAGTCTAAGTCTGATGGGCATTATAGATCAGGTGGGAGTGATGGGGGTGGAGTTGGGGGTAAAGGGCATAATCATGGAACCCATCAAGCTCAAATTCAGTATACTAAATCTCCAGGCCCAGAAACTCAATTACCCTTGAGACCTCAAGCAAGTCCTAAACCAGTTTTCAAGCAAGAAACCATTTTGGGTAAGGCATTTGAGGATGTTAAGGCACACTATACACTAGGTAAAGAATTGGGTAGAGGTCAATTTGGGGTTACATTTCTTTGTACTGAAATAGCTACTGGTCATCAATATGCTTGTAAGTCAATATCAAAGAAGAAACTTGTTACTAAATCTGATAAAGCTGATATGAGAAGAGAGATTCAGATTATGCAGCATTTAAGTGGACAACCAAATATTGTTGCATTTAAAGGTGCTTATGAGGATAAGAATTCAGTGTGTCTTGTTATGGAGTTGTGTGCTGGTGGAGAGTTATTTGATAGGATCATAGCTAAGGGGCATTATACTGAAAGAGCTGCTGCATCAATGTGTAGAGCTATTGTTAATGTTGTACATGTTTGCCATTTTATGGGTGTTATGCATCGTGATCTTAAGCCTGAGAACTTTCTCTTGTCAGACAAGAGTGAAAATGCTGCTTTGAAGGCAACAGATTTTGGGCTGTCCATGTTCATTGAAGAAGGTTAACTCTGCTGTATGCTTTCATTAATATTATTTTACTATTTCCGTATTTCTCATTATTAGTTTTCTGTTACTACTTGTTGTCGCTTATGGCTCAATTTTCTTACTATCCTGTTGTCGTTACTGCTTATGTCTTTGTCAATGTTGTGTTGTTGCTTTTATTAAGCCGAGGGTCCGTGTACACTCTACGCTTCCTAGACTTCCTTATGGAACTATAATGGATATGTTGTTGTATGTAGCAGCTTTGGGATGAGTCTTTTTGATGGCAATTCTAATGAAATCATCAAACCACAGACCTCCCATCTTTTCTAGATTTAGGTCTGCTATCTACATATCAAAAGTAATTGTATCTATGTAGGCTAAGATCCTGATTGCTAAGTTTAGAAGTAGATGACTTTATCTGTTTAGACTCCGGAGATGTTCACATCATTATTAACGTGCTAGCCTGCTAATCCAATGTTTCTGTGCCAAAGAGACCTCACTTTTTACTGGAAAGATTTTGCAACAATCATTGTCATCAATTCAGGCAATAAGTAAAATGCATTCATGCCTTTTTAGCATCATAAAGGGTTCCTAGAATTTGTCATTAATGTCTCGAGTCTGTTCAAATTGGCATGTAAAGTTACTTATATTTCTGCAGCCTGTTCAGACTCTTCTCTCCTTTGCTTAGGAAGTTCAAATTATTTTAGGCCTGATTAAACTTCTACGAACCTAGCTTACCATTATACAAAATTGGCTATTCTACAAGATGATAGCTCATTATCTGAATTAAGATAATCCTGTTCTCTTCTTACCAGCTTTTGAACTTACACAACCTAACCAGGGTTGCATGACTTTTCCTCTCTTCTTTACTGATTCTATCCCTGCTCTTAGCCTCTTACTTTGTTTGGTGTAATAAAATAATGGCATTCCTTGCAGGTAAGGTGTACAAGGATATAGTTGGGAGTGCTTACTATGTTGCCCCTGAAGTCTTACGGAAGAGTTATGGCAAGGAAATAGATGTTTGGAGTGCAGGTGTTATGTTGTATATACTACTCAGTGGTGTGCCTCCCTTTTGGGCAGGTAAAGTCAAGTGCTCTCATCTGCATAATTATCAGTTTACAGTGTGGTTTTATCTAGGACTAGTTGTGTTTATTGGTTTTTGTAATCTATAATGCAGAAACTGAGAGAGGTATATTTGATGCCATATTAAAAGAAGACATTGACTTTGAAAGTCAACCTTGGCCCTCTATCACAAGTAGTGCAAAGGACCTGGTCCGAAAGATGCTCAATAAAGACCCAAAGCAACGTATTTCTGCTGCTCAAGTTCTTGGTATGCATCCTTCAAAAAATAGCTCATTGACTTTAATAGTCGTAATGGTTTCACACTGAGTAGTAATGTTTGCCGCTATTGCTTTCTAAATGAATCCTCAAAGGATGCGAAGTTTAGTTTGTCATGTATTTGGTGACATTGCATAGATCTATTTTAAATTTGTCTTACAGTTTATTGATGGTATTGCTTCATAATGAGTTCTTTCTTGATAACCAAATAGGTTTGGCATGTGAATAGTGTTATCGAAAGCGATCTCTTCATCACTTAAAACGATGGAGCATACAACTATATGGCTCAAAGTAATCTTGCGAGAAGTGCTTAAACTCAATTTTTTCTTGAGAAATAGTGGAAATTGGTCACTGAACAATTTTAGTACTAGGACTCCTCTTCGCATATGCTTCAGTATGATCTTTGCCATCATTGTGTGCTTCTTCTTCGGGGTTTACACCTTTTCTTCTACTACTTTTGCTTCTTTTTTCTTTTCAAACAATTTACTTCTCTTCTTTAAACATTGTCTTCTTCTAATATGTGAGTCCTCTGCTCAAGTGCTTCTCTCCTTTCTACTTCCTAGTTCAGTTAATAAATCAATAAAACATGAAAATGAAAGCTGTAAATATATTTATTTTTATGACTGATTAATTAAATAACCACAACTTGCTCGGAATCTAGGTGTAGTTATTGAAGTTGTTATGGTCGATTATTGAAATAAAAAATTAAACACCAGATTGGAGTCATGTTTATGGCCTTGTCGAAATCCGTTCGGAAGGGTTATAAAATGATTTGATTTTAAAGTTAAATTCATGTTCATGTATGTTCTCAAAATGACATTCTTGTGTTCAATGCGATAGATTTCAAATTACTTGTTTCCACATGGAGCCTAGGAGATATGAAACCTAAAAGATAGTAACACCAAACATGAGAAGACTTACTGTTTGCAGCTCAAAATAGTGGGATTAGTTGACTTTCCTTTACCTTTATTTTAGTTTGGGAAAAGGGTCAAAAATACCGCTCAACTTTGGCTTATTGTTTGACTTTACCCTTGCCGTTAAAATGAAGTTAATTTTACCCCTCCCGTTACTAATTTCACCATATTTACCCCTCATTTGACGGAAAGCCCAAAATTAACCCAAATTACCTGAATTTAAAAAAAAAAAAAAACCATTCCCTATTTTTAACCCAATGCCCCGACCCCTCTAGAGGATAACCCGGTTAACCCGTATAACCCCTCAGCTTCCTCCTCAATGCAGCCATGGGTGCAACCAGATAATGCCAACATATCCATCTCATATCTTAGATGCAATGCTACAAATGGCCCTCTCCCCTAAAGCATTCGTACCAATGTTTCTCCCAAAGCCTCAATATCTGGAGTGAATTTCAATGCCTGAAAATTCACACGACATCTGCGTTTTTGAAGCTCAAGAGGAATCCCATTGTTTGCTAGCCTAGTATCTGTTCTGTTGAAATGTATTACTTGATGCTTGCTGAAGAGAGGCAGAATCTGCATTTGTAATCCGAATGTGTTAATACATATCGGTAAAAAGGCAAATAAATGAGTCAGACATTTGGAGACAAATCCTAACTCGTAATCAACAACTAAATGTTATAGAAAGACAATAATCAAAGAAGATTTGTTCAATTCGATATCTTAACAACCATAAGTACAAATTCTGATGGAGAAAAGGGGTTATCTTTTCTACAACTCATCATTCTTGGACTTAGCTTCTGATGGAGAAAAGGAGATTATCTTTTCAAAGAGAGAGAATGGGTAAATGGGAATGGATAACAGGGCATTGGGTTAAAAATAGGGAATGATTTTTTTTAAAAAAAACGGGTAATTTGGGTCAATTTTGGGCCTTCCGTCAAATGAGGGGTAAATATGGTGAAATTAGTAACGGGAGGGGTAAAATTAACTTCATTTTAACGGCAAGGGTAAAGTCAAACAATAAACCAAAGTTGAGGGGTATTTTTGATCCTTTTCCCTTTTAGTTTAAGGTAAAAATTGATGTGATTTACATACTTTCAAATGTTATTTCGTCAACAGACACTAGGACGTGTTACCCCTTGTTTAAAACCTTGGAATCAATCATTATTTCATATTTAAGTCTTTAAAGTGTCTGATCCCTATTTATGCTTCCACTCATCTGTATCAACAGGAACACATATTTTTGCTATTCTGGTTAATTATTCGAACTTAGATTAACTTAGACCATGCATAGATGAATGATATACCTAGAGCATACAATCTAACGATCTTTTGATTTGCCTGGTGATAGAGCATCCTTGGCTCAAGGTAGGTGGAGTAGCATCAGATAAACCATTAGATAATGCTGTCCTCTCAAGAATGAAGCAATTCAGAGCTATGAACAAACTCAAGAGACTTGCTTTAAAGGTAACATCGGAGTTAGTCGACTCTGATTTCTTTGCTGTAACTCAATACAACTATATGTCAATCTTTAGCTATTTGGGGTTTGCTATATGAATATTCCATTTGAACCTATTTTATTCATTCAGTCTAATTTGATGTTAGGGGAAAAGGGTGTAAACGGCATTATTTCAAATTCACTTCTCTGTTTTATTTGCCTAAAGAAGAGGAAAACAGATACAAGATGAGGAAAACCACTTACCTTTTGGCCCAATTTCTTAGACGAGTAAGCGGCAGAAGCTTACAACTTCCTGTTTACATCAAACAAAAGAACGCTAATTATATTCCTTTCTTTCAAACAAACAACTTTTAGAAGAACATAATTATAATATGAGCTTAAGAGACCATATTTGTTGTGAATCATATCCTTTGAATGAAGTTGGTGAATTTAGTGTGCTGGTGTTCTTCTAAATATAAATCTGAGCATATTTCAGAAATGAACTTTACTCTTTTTAGTGTTTCCTTTTCACACTAATGGACAACGCACTGATAGTATCTTGACAATATTTGTTGCAATCAACAAATGAAGGTTCAACTACTGGATCAAATTGGATGCAGATTGTCTTGACATGCTACTTGATGTCTGTGGGCATGTTTAGTGTCCCGCCTTGAGCCTAGTGCAATTGGATGATTTGTTTTATCCTCCTTGTGAATTCCTTCTTCTATGAAATTAATTCGTTTACTCATTCTTGTGAATTCATTTACCCTGAACTAGCTCATTGCTAATTGAAATGGTTTTGGTATCAGGTCATTGCTGAGAATCTCTCAGCAGATGAAATTCTGGGGCTCAAATCAATGTTCCATAACATTGACACCGATAATAGTGGAACGATCACGTATGAAGAATTGAAGAGCGGATTGGCCAGACTTGGATCAAAGCTCACAGAGGCGGAAGTAAAGCAATTGATGGAAGCTGTAAGGCTGAATTACTCGAGACACATCAACTGTTTCTTCCTTTCACTTTGTTGTCAATTGGTGTACCATGAAATAACTAATATCTTGTCCACTTCAGGCTGATGTGGATGGAAATGGCTCGATCGACTATATTGAGTTCATCACTGCTACCATGCATAAACATAGACTTGAAAGAGATGAAAATCTATACAAAGCATTTCAGTATTTCGATAAAGATGGTAGCGGGTAAGTCCTTTTGCAAATGCAGCAGTTGATGATCAAATGTGTGGAATTGTTAAACCAGTTGAGTTTTCTTCTGTATAATGCAGGTTCATCACAAGAGATGAACTCGAAACATCTATGGAAGAGCATGGAATAGGCGATCCAGCTAGTATAAGGGAGATAATATCTGAAGTAGACGCTGATAATGTGAGTTTGGTTACTCTTAAATCATATTCCAAAACGATCAAACTTTTCTTAACACGTATTGATTCTGTCATATTTACAGGATGGAAGAATCAACTATGAGGAATTTTGTACAATGATGAGAAGTGGAGCTAAACAACCAGGCAAGCTCTTCTAATAACACGTGTCTCCTAGTCGTTGGAGGTAAAACTCGGGAGTGATTCTTCAATGAACTGTTGCGCTGCCCATATGACCGACATCAAGTACATGACCAACCTGAACTAGTTGGCGTTTTGAAGTTCTCCAGTTGAAACCTGTAAATTGGTGATTCCTGTTTCTATAATCTATGTTCTCTGTGGTTCTTTTTCTCACATGTTGAATTGTCTACTCAGTGCACAGAGGAAATGAGTGAACATAGACTCTTTTACTATTTGAATAGAAACAAATGACCTTGTAAAGATATCTTGTGTTATTTTCAAAGTTTTTTTATATGTAAAATAAAGATCTCTCGTAAAAAGAAACTGAGAATTTTTGCGCGAATCACCCTGGAGTTCATTGCTTTCCTTGTATGGAGACTCACCCACCTTTTGTTTATTGTGCCTCTCCTCAAAATCAAGTCACACCATTTGACACCTCGAGTCTTATTTGTTGTGTTGAGTGTATGTGTGTGTTTGTTTTTACTCTTATTTGGACGTGACTTGTGAGGTAGCGGCGGGCTAAGGCACTTTCCTAATATCTTATACATGTATGTTATATAGATTTTAAATTTCATACCAAACACTATACTAGGTGTGTTGAATTTCATACATAGCAAAAGAATACAAATATAGTATTATTTATGCAAAATTTAATGTAAAAATAACTTAACTCGGAAAAAAACCTATCAAATGATTCCTAAATAACTACATATAATGAAAATCTTAGTCAAAATCAATTTTGCTTGCATTTTCAATTATTCACAAATTTTAGTGAATTTTAAATATAAATGTAATTGAACTTTCAAATATAGTACGTCAAACAAATTTCATTTAAACAACTTAACAAAGTCAGTTCCATATAAGCAAGTTAGCATTCAATGCAATTGAAAATAGGACATTCAATTAATTTGAATTAGAGCTATAATTTAACTCACCTTATAAATATAAATTTCTTGCAATAATATTTTTTATTGCTAAATAATCGCATAAGCTTTATAACCATGTGACCTTTTACCAACAAAATTGATTTGTGACAACAACTTTTTTGTTGTTGCATATCTTAGCTTTTAGCAACAATATTTTTTATTGTTACATAAACTTTTTTTAACAATATTTACACTAACTTTTTTCTGTTGCTAAAAGTACTCTTACGGGCCGTATGGTTACTGGGTAGAGTTATGCAGGTATTAGTTATGCAGGGTTTAATTATGCATGCTTTAGTTATGCATGTACTCCTATATAGTTATGTAGAGATCACAATACATAAAGTATTAACTATTAAATATTGAATTTATTGTAAATTAATATATATATTATTACAAATAAATAAGTAAGCAAATAGTATAAGTTCTCCCACTTTATGAATAAAAAGTAAATAAAAAAATGTTTCCCTCTATACTAAATTGGGACCGTTATTTTTTTATTTTGTTGTTTTCTTTATGTTTATAACTTATAAAAATAAAATACGATTAATATATTTCAAGTTCATTATAATATCCTATTTTATATAGTGTAAATATTCTAATATGTTGTATATATTGTTTATACATTTTTAATATACCGAATATATGAATTATGTATAAATTCACATCCTAAACAAAAAAAAAATACATATATTAATTAAATAAGTGGAATATATTTAATAATATATAACCTTAATAAATGATTAACATATGTGCCAGCAAAATATATACAATTCAATTTGTAATATTAATAAAATATTACATTTGGATTTCAAATGAAAACAGGAAAAAAAGGTTATTTGTGAATTAAGAAGAGTAAAAAAAAAGTTAGGAAAATAGTATAGTTAGGTAACGTTTTCAATAAAAAAATAAAAAATAAATTAATAGAGGTAAATGTGTAATTTACTATTTTAATATATGTATAACTAATATCTGCATAATTTATTTCACCTTCTACCCTGCATAACTTATACATAGATTCCCTCATAAGTTATGTAGATATTAATTATGTAGGACTACAAAAAACACAACCAAACACCGCATAAAATTAATACATGAATAACTTTTATACAAAATTTGAAATCCTACCAACCAAACATGGTATACGTTATATTGACTTTTCCACCTAATACAGAACTTCTACCAAACATAGTAAAACTAATGCAACTATTTATACATGAATAAAATGCAACTTATACAGTTACCAAACGGCTCCTTAGCCAATAACGTTAAATATATATTGCAACAAAAATAAATTGTAGAAAATTCCCTACTTTCATATAGTTAGTTTACTCATAATTTTACGTGGCATTTTACCACTTATATTATTTAAAAAAAATAATATTCTCTATATTATATTATTATTATACCTATTTTTGAAAAATTTAATTACCTTTTAGTTATAACAAAACTATAAAATGCATTTATCATCATGAATTTAACTCATTTAAATAAAGTATTTTATATGACATTCATTATTACAAGTTATTTTAAAATTTTATTAATATTATTTTATAGTATTGTTGTAGTATTACATTTAAATAAGGCGGAATGGCTTGAGAGACCTTGTACTTGACTCGATTTGTAAGTTGGATCCCTGTACTTACGACTTTGCCAACTAAACCCTTAAACTCATTCAAACACAATATTTTAGACCCCTTTCTTATCTGATGGGTGTGCGTGTAGTACACTCATTTTACACATGAAATACCACGTCATTTTTTAATGACACATTATTATTATTATTTTAATGACACATCATAAATTAAATATTAAAAAATAAATAATATTTAAAAAAAATGCACTTTTCTCACTCTCTCTCTAACTGTACCATTTTTCTCCCTTCCCACTTCATCTTCTTTGTTCCCACCTTCTACCATTTTCGTCTTTCTTCATAGTTCATACTCAAAAATTTCTTCAATCACAAAATGTGATAGATTATAATTAGTTCTTGAACATGCTTTATGGTTCTATTTATTTTGATTTAATAAAAAAAGATATCAAGAAAACTTCAAATTGGAAAAAATATATTTATATGTAAATTAAAGTAATAGATCTTAAAGAATTAAGTTTATAAAAATGGTGAATGGTATATTTTTTTGCAAAAAAACTTTTTTCAATTTTTTATTTGATGATTTTATTGTGATAATGTGTACGTCTAAGAAGAAGAAGAGAAAATGAGTAGGGACTGGGGAGGGTGGGGGGGGTGTTGGATGTGGGCTGAGGTTGAACAAGAAGAAGAGGAGAAAATGAGTAGGGGCGGGGGAGGATGGGGGGTGGGGCTGAGGTTGAAGAAGAAGAGGAGAAAAGGGTGGGGTGGGGTTGAAGAAGAAGATAGAAGGGGTGGGGGTGGGGCGAGGTGGGGTGGAGTGAAGAAGAAGGAGGTTTTTAGTATTATTTTTTTTTAAAATTATTATTATTGTTTTTGTCTTATAATTTTGATAATTTTAAATTAAAAATATTGTATTTACTTGCTTCAAAACGCGTGGAGTCATGTATTTGTCCAATTAAGCCATTTCAGTGCTACATAAGCTCGGTCAATGGTCAGAGAGGTTTAAAAAATAGAGTTTCATTGAGTTTAAGGGTTCATTTGACAAAACGATGAGTAGAAGGGTTCAACTGATAAACGAAGCCAAGTACAGGGGCCTCCCAGGTCATTCGATCCTAAATACAATTTTAATTTTTTTTCTCAAAAAACTATCCAAATTATGTCAATTTTAGCCAAAATTCAAAACCAATTACAACCCCTAATTAAATTGATTCAATTCATGACCCAACAAAACAACCCAGAACCCGACCTATTTGATCATTTTAATCTCCTCCGTTCAATCAATTTAATCGGATGATCCACACTTCTCCCTTTCACTATTTATTTAACCCTCACAATTTTCTAAATCTTAATTCATTTATATTCCTCCGATCACCTCCAACTCTTCTCTTTGTCTCTCTTTCATCCTACAAACAATAAGAGTCTCCTTCAAGCCCTGATTATTTCGTATGTAAATCTAGGGCTGGGCATAAATACCAAATTGGACCTTTTTTTTGGTATTTTGATTTTGGTATTTCGATTTTCAGGTTGATTTTCGGTATTTCGATTTTCGGGATGTGTTTTTTTAATTTTTGGTATTTCGGTTAGGTTTTTGATATGTATTTTTGTATTTTTCGGTATTTTAGTTTAACAGGAATTTACTATATATATATATATATAAATATTAATAATTACATAATATATAAATATATATATATATATAAATATATATATATATATTTATATTTATATATATTATGTAATTATTAATATTTATATTATATTGGTTTACCTTTTAAGTTTTATTTCTTTTTACCCATAGCAAATTAACAACTGTCAAGTGTCAACTAGCACTAGGGCTTCAACTTTTCTTTCTTTTTTTCTACTTTGCGCCGCACTTTTTAGGTTCCAACTTTACATTTTTCAAGTAAAACCAGCCGACTAGCGATCACCGCCACCAGCGACCGCCGCGATCAGGGTAGTAACCCGCGCCGCGACTAGGACTGCCGACCAGCGATCGCCGCGACCAGGGGAGCAACTTGCCCCGCGACCAGGATTGCCGACCAGCAATTAACGAGTCAGCGACCATTAATTTCAACCGCGACCCATGGTATTCGTCCAACATGCTTCTGTTTTCTTTTTCCATTTTTTTTTAGTTCTTGTGTGAATTGTGAAATTAATTTTTTGTACAAACAAAAATCAAATCAAATTAACAAAAATTGAACCGAAATAACTTGGTTAGATGTTTAGTAACACTATTACAAGAATCGAAAAAAATTTGAAACCGAACTGAATTATCGAATGCCCAGCCTCCTATGTGAATTTGTATAGATTTTTTCATTTTCAAATCCTTTTTTCACTTTTTGTTTCTCTCTTTATTCATTTACTGTAAGATTTGGATAAAAGAATGAACATCTGAGAGGACTTTTTGTCATAAATTGTTCCCCAAAAAAGGAGATGAAGATATCACAATATATGAACATAACTGTTTAACTACTAGTAAAATGGGGTAGCAATGTCTATTTCTTATCTAAATGCCGATTGATTTGTTTCCATGTTTATATGATTTATTTTGATGTCATTTTTTTAAAATTATTTTTGAAAAGGGAAATTATGGAGGAGATTAGAAAGTGGAGAATCAAACTCTTAACAACAAGGCAAAAATTCAGGTAATCAACTAACTAAGCTACTAAAATTTCTCTTAGTATATTAGTCTCTTAGTTTTTTTATTTTTTGATTGTCATTATTTATCCTTTCCTTGATACATGATAGATAATTCATCTAGACAAATTTGTTGGTTTTTTTTTCAAAATTCCCCACTATTTTTGGTCAAGTGTGGAATGCTATTATAAA